TTTCAAGTCTTTTTCAGTTACTTATTGCATGTTACATTTTAGAACGTGCCCAGTCAAAAGTGTGGGAAACACTGTCTTCAGCAATCACTGAAACAACTCCAGATGTTTTTGACACGAGCGATGTGCCCAGTTCCACTTCGAATGAAAAAAATTCTGGTAATCAGTGGCATCTCAAAAATTATTTCGTTCGATTTCACTAATTAATTCTAAATCGAATTAAGTATGCGTATTTAAGCTACGTCTGTATTTCGAACTAAACTAGATGCATGCAGTTATTACTTAAACCCTCCCCCCTCCCCCGCTCCCTTGCTGGCCCGCTTTCCTGCCCATATTTCGCTTTCTTTGAGAAGCGGAGCTAATCGGAAGTATTTCAAGAGTAACAAGTATCAACAGCAGTCATTTGCTGGCAAAACTGATAGCTCTTCTTTTGACGGTTGCTTGCGAGCAAGTTGATGGCAAGTTTAACTCCCTGACATATGCCACTACTACTAATTTACCGTAGAAACGGATCACAGGGAGGGAAAAAACATCTCCGACATGAAATTTTCTTTGCGGACTAAAATTTGTAAGCTGAATTTCTGCCGTGTTTTGGTACTTCGCAAATTTGATCCAACCTACAAATAGGTGTGGAAATCGATTTTGTTGGATTAAAGGGAGTAATATTTAAGGGAGATTGCAGGGTTAAAAAAGTAAAGATCAGTAAGGTGCAAGTACTGCTAAAATGAATGCATTAATTTTTAGAAAAAATTATTATATAGAAAAAGGCAGAGGAAAAGTATCTGAGTCGGGATTTAAACTATTGGAAGTCTCGAGCCAAAGCTATTATATATTACGTCCTTTAAACTGCTAACATCAACCAGCGACTTGTGAGGGTTTTAATGCTCTTCCTGTTCTTCAAGGGATCCTAGTCCAGGCTCGAAATTTTTGTTCTCCCACAGATATTTCTATACATTTATTGAACCTCTCTTTCAGAAATTCCATTACTAAGTCCGGTAGCATCACATACATTCAGTGCCAGAGAGGAGGTTCAGCAGACACAGTCAACGCGGACGCCACTGAACATAAGGCCGCTGAATAAGACTGCAATTGGCGAAATTACTCCAATTGATACGCTCTCATCTCTTTCGGAACCGTCAACTCTTTCAGGTTTTGATGAAATACATCTTTTGGTTTTACTCATTTTATAGAAACCGCTTGATTTTGTTGTATTTGTCTTCAAATTTTACGACTAGCAAGGCCGCCCGGATAATCAGTGTGGGTATCCCGTGTTAGTGATCTTACTGGATTGCTCTCACCCCTCCGAGCAAAGCTATGCTAGGTCCTCTGATTTATGGCTGTATAGCCCCCATTAGCACTGATGGCGTGCCGAACATAGATTGCGGATTTCACGTGGCTGTAATTCGTAGTTTGTTTCTCCGTTTACGCAATTGGCAGCTTTTCCAATCGCTTTGACCAGTGCTGATGGTCAACCTGTTGCGATCCTAATTTTTTAAATGAAATTATTTTAGCAAATCGATTATTGTAGAATTTGAATTTTGGAGATTTAATATATCAGATTTTTGAAATTCCCAGAAATTTTAGTGTCTTTTTTTCCTGCATTCCGAATGTAGGGCTATTTTGCAGCAGAATCAGAATCATCAGCATCTGCTGTGGAATTGGTACCATCAATAGCAGTATCGGAATCAGTCACCAAAGCGCCGCTTTCTGAACCAGTGGACGAAGCAGTAACATCAGCACCAACTAGTGAAGTTCAAAAATCAACATCTTCTGGGGATGAGGTGAGGAAAAAATTAATAAGCACTAGCAAATTAAGAAATATAATGCACTAAAATATTTAAAAAAATAAAAAATGGACTTTTTGTTTTTGTCCAAAAAAAATTTGAATCAAAAAAGAGAAGAAAAAAACACTCGCTGAAAAATTGGAAGATTTTTTTAAATTTCTGAAGTGACTTATCAAAATTCATTTTCTATCGGATTTTTTTTTTCATTTCTTATCTAATCTAATCAATAAAATTTTACCAGTCTGCTAAAAAATTGGATTAGCCGGAAACTGTGTTTGAATTTGGTTGAAGGACTGAAATGGTTTAAAATTCCGAAAATCGTGCCTGAAATTTAACACAAAATTCCGAAAATCGTGCCTGAAATTTAATAATCTAAATCTGAATTGGAAATCGAGCCTTTTCTTATGGAATTTGGTTAATCTTTCAGAATGCTCCAACTGTAGCTGGTGGATCTGGTGATGTGCAAAGCCAAGAACAGGATCATGGGCATGAGCATGAGCACGACGATGAAAGTTTATTTGTTGGCGATAAAACTTTGTTCAGTCAGGATAATACTATGAAAGCACTGCAAGATTTCAGTACCACTCGTCCTGTTCCGGAATTACTCACTCCACCCGAGGTAAGTATTTGCCTTCAGCTTGTGGCTTTTTTCAAATTTCATGAATGGCAGTACCTTAATTGCCATGAGGAAGCGTTCATTGAAAATAATACTTTTAATTATTTGGAGAGTCCAAAAGTAATTTTTCTTTTTCACTAGAAAGTTAAATAAAAATTTACTGTACTAAAAAAAATATTTTTAATTCATTTTTCCAGGAACTAGCTCTTTTTCCTGTCAAAATTCTAAAATACT